AGGTGGCGCTGCCACCCACAGGGAATCAGCCAAATCCCGTAAGTACAGAGAACTGGATCACCACTACAATTTTGTCCCCATTGCTTCTGAGACACTCAGCACTTTGGGTAAGAGTGTCACCAGTTTTTTTAAGGAACTGGGTTCTAGGCTAATTGAAACAACAAGAGACCCTAGAGCTGCTAGCTTCCTTTTCCAGCGCCTCAGTGTGGCGATACAAAGGGGAAATGCACATTGCATTCAGGGTTCCTGCCCGCCATCTGAGGAGCTGGAGGAACTCGACAACTTATGATAATCATTTTTGTACCTTATATGTAACTCATTTTTTGTGATAGTTTAAATAAAACAAACATATATGCAACAACTATCACAAAAACACTGATCCAAGTATGAGAAAACCATATGTGAAAAACAGAGAATGCTAAACGCGTTTTTGGCTTAAATCGTCTTCATCAGAGCAAAGTAGAATGAAGATGGAAACCTTGTTGGTCAGACCTTATACCTGCCAGGGCAAATCACCTGACCACCTAGAAAAGGCAAAGGAAAGGAAACATAAGAAAGAAGGTAACTGCAGAAAGCCTATTGCCCCATTCGAGGCGGCTCCAATTAATATCCATAACTGGAAGATATATAAAGTTGTACAAGACAGTACATATATGACTTATTGCTTATAGTCAATATTTGGCTTATGAATAAGTACATATGTGGTATATTCTAAGTTATATTTTTTCAAGGCATGAACTCTTCTTCTCAGTTTTATTAAACGATAGAGATTTTATACAAAATTTGACAATATCCTGAGTTACTTTACATTTTATTTAAATACTAGTTGTACCGGCCACGCGTTGCTGTGACTCAGTCTAGTTAAATGGAAAAGAAAGGAAAGAGAAAATGCACGTTTCTAACATGTTTAATTTCACAATGCTTGTGGGTATACAACATGTTTTCTTGTGCCATTGTCTGTGAAGATATAGAGATAATGATTGCCGACTCTAGAACACGCAACATATAATTGTCCATGTGAGAAGCAATCTGTGTCTAGATCTAAACCGCACAATTCTAAAGATTGGCCCTGAGCTTTGTTGATGGTGATTGCAAACGCCAATTGAATTAGGAATTACAATCTCTTAAATTGAAATGGCAAATCCGTTGGAATCACAGGAATGTGAGGAATGAGGACATCTTCACTTTTTAATGGTCCTGTCAAGATTGTTGCTTCTACGACGTTGCTGAATAATTTTTTACTGCAAGCCGCGTGCCGTTGCTAAGCTTTTGCTGGTTGATATTTCGTAACATGATAATTGGCTCGCCGATTTTGAGTTGCAGTTCGTGCGGTGGTGGTATACCTGGCAGATCGAGTGAATTAAAAAAAATGATGTTGGATAATTAATCGCTTCATCTGCTTCTACCACAGTGTCGACGGACTTGTATGTGACTGTCTTGCTTTGTATGTTAGATTGTATAATATTGTTAAGTTCTTAGACGTCTTTGTTCTTGGCCGCAAGAACAGCTCGTTCACTCAGCCAATCGTGATTCTTATAATTGATTTGAATATTGGGAAATACTTTTTCAACCAATTCTTTTGATGTCACTAAACTGCAGAAGTTATGAGGCAATGAAATTCGTCCGGAGGTCAGATCAACCGGCACGTTTACGTTCCCAATTTCCAGAAATTGATGTGAGAATATCTCAGCTGATGAGTCGTTTTGCAGTTGGACACGCATATTTGTAGTTAATTTTAGCATCTTTACGTGGCGCCACAAAGTAGAATATTTCAGGCGAGCATTTATTTCATCCACTGGTGTCGATCGAGGAATTACAGGTAATGTTTGCCTGAAATCTCCTGCAAGCAATATTAATGCGTTCCCAAATGGTCTGATGTTTCCACGCAAATCTTGCAATGATTGATCTAGAGCCTCGAGCGATTTTTTGTGGGCCATTGTGCATTCAGCCCAAACAATAAGTTTACATTTCTGAAATACTTTTCCCTTGTCGGATGCTTTGGAAATGTTGCACGTGGGAGTTTCAATGAATTGCATGTTCAAAGGCAATTTCAAAGCCAAAGTAGCAGTTCTTGCACCTGGTAGCAATGTCGCAGCTATTCCAGACGATGAAAGGTTATGCCATTTTGGGATCGAAATTCTGCCAAAATCAATCTAATTAGAAAGGTTTTACAGTTCCTCCTGGCGCATCTAAGAAGATTTCTCCAAACCCGTTATTGACAGTTGAAATTGAAATAAGTTTATTGAGGTAAAATACACACAAAGGGATGAGGTAGCTCAAGCTATTCTCACCCCAGTCAGTACAACGTGTTAATATATACATAGACACACATCACAAACAATAAACATATTACCAAACATTCTGAGAGGTAAACATATACATTTCCTCCTTCACAAGTAGTATGGTATCAGACGTACACACAAATACTTTTATGGTTATTGACAGTTTGAATTATTTGATCGTAAATGCCTTTTCGCTCAAGCGTTAGCTTAGGAATATTTGATTGCACATACGACAACAGATCACTCGTGTTGTAATTTTGTTCACGACGCAATTCTACATCGAACGAAGCAGCAGCAGATCGATTCGGTGATGGCATTCCCAACTGAATGAGAACATTGTTCGCGATTTCTAAGCATAAATCTTCAGTCGTTATCAACGCTTCGCTGTAGATTTCTGCTGTGAAATTCATGTTCATATTTGAATCTTCCTTGCGTACTCGACGGACAATATCTTCAGCCATGTGCGATTTGTGTTTCTCCCATAACTCTGTTGGAGATGAAGGAGAGCCGGTGGTCAATATGAGTGCAAACAATGCACGAAATTGATTTGGATGTGACGTGTTGGACGTGTCATTAATGCACACATCCCAGTGTCGGCTGTTCTCCAATAAATTCAGAGCTTGACATGCACTACGGAAAGTGGCATGTGTTACGCCACTGACAAATCTCAATTGCTGGAAAGACGTTGGACCGGGGACATTTACCAACAGCTTGCGAAGAAAGAAACATTCATCTTGATTGGAATGCACGGTGTACAGTCTGCCTATCGTAGTTTGTTTGAATATGCCAGGTTGTCCGTCGACTCGCTCTCCTCGTTTACGTCGTTCAAATGATTTTCTACTGGCAATCCATGTGTAATACGGAGGCACTTCCGAATACAGCAATGTTTTCGCAAACACGTCATTTTGACATAACATGAAGAAAGCAGTTAACATTGTAGCCAGTGGATTCATAGCTGTTTGTTGCACATTTGCTGCTGTGAAAAAATGCATTGTCCATTTTCTTGTTTTCAAAACAAAAGCAAAAAATACTAACGAAATATTTCAATTCAAACGCCGATCAATCGACACAGCTCAATTTCACCACCACTTACACTGAAAAAAAGGGAAGAACAGTTAAAAAAAGAAATGAAAAACAACGAAAAAGGAAACAAATAAGCTATACCCATGAAATGAACAGTATGGTAAACAACACAGCTCAATTCCAGCGCAATGTCACACAAAATAATTAAATCAAAATGAAAATAAATAAAAATCTATGAAAATTCAATTTATCAATGCAATCGGAAACATTGAAATTGAATTGTAACATATCTTGTATATCGTATGTTGCTTTTACGTGCAACAGATGGCGCTGTTTAAAAAAAAAATGCATGTTTTTACCTGTCATAGGTGTGGCATCTAAATAGTAGGTATATCAAGAAACGCACGTACAGTATTCGAAAGGAACGTTGTGTCAAAATTTCAAAGCAATCGGTGAAGAACTTTCGGAGATTACAGCGTGTGTTGCTCATACGTCCTACAGATGGCGCTGCTTAAAAAAAAAACATGTTTTTTTCCTGTCACAGGTGAGGCATGTATATAGTAGGTATATAAAAACACTCGCCTATTCGAATGCAATGTTGTGTCAAGATTTCAAAGGAATCGGTAAAGAGGTTTCGAAGATTTCCCTCACTTGAAAAACACACGAAAAAAACACAGCTTTTCAAAAAACGCATGTTTTTTTTTCTCGTCACAGACGTGACATCTATATAGTATGTATATACAAACTAGCTCGGATACGAATGGAACGTTGTGTGAAAATTTCAAGACAATCGCTGAAGAACTTTCAGAGATTAGCGATTTTGAACAAACGAACATATGCATTTTTATTTATATAGATTTTAGTTTTGTTTTATTACTGTATTTTTATAAAACTGTAATATCAATATAGGTATAGCTTAAGTACTAATTGTAATATCTTAACATACTAAGAAGTTTAGGTTAGGTCGTGGTTTTCTATTCAGCTTTTCAGGTAAACTCAAATATTCACAATAAATTAGTATATCACATATGTACTTATTCATAAGCAAAATATTGACTATAAGCAAGTGCGAGAACGGGTTGCAATAGTTCAACTTCCTCTGACAACCCTCTTCCAATACACAGAAAAATCCAATTATCGTGATATATCAGTAGTATATCACATTATCGTGATATATCAGTAATATATTACATTATCTTGATATATCACAATGTGATTTCTGTGTAATAATTATAGTAATAATGAGCAAAAGGTGGCGAAGCAGTGGTGTATGAGTTATTATTATATTTAACATCTTTATGACAAAATTTAATTACAATTTTGCCTAATCTGAGGAGTTGAATTATGTCTTATTAAAGTTAGGATAATGCCCACGAAATGAATGGTATGGTAAACAATACAGCTCAATTCCAACGCAATGTCACACAGGATAGAGGGTCATATACAAGACTAAACTGCAGGCTGAAGCACATATATATCATGGTTACAATAAGTGTTTTAATGCATGCATATGTAAAATCCACTTTCTATTGTGCACTGCCACACAAGGGCAGGGATGGGTTCATAAGAGATGCAGCTTAGAAGTAATATAAGACTGTTCTTCATTCTTTAAAATGGATAAGCAAATTTTGGATAAATTATTAGGATGTCGTCCAGTACAGCAGATTCAGCTGACCATGTTCTTGTCTCCTACAGGCACCTGCAGGCGCTGCGGAGCTTCATCGGCAACCTGGTGGACCAGGCCGAGCGGGCTGGGGGCTGCGACTGTCATAAGCCGCCCTCACTCCTCCTGGTCGGGGTGAGTCTCTCAACCATTCAACTACTGTGTTGACTATTTCTCTCACTACTCATCAACTCTAATCTTCTCTCACTACTCATCAACTCTAATCTTCTCTCCATAAAATTTAATATCTTTAAGGATAAGTGAAATTTGCTACTGTGACTCTCGTGTTGACTACCTAACTTGTACTGGTGGCGAGGATCAATGTCCCCGTGGCCCGGTCTCTGACCCAGGCCTCCTGGACTGGTCAACCAGGCTTTTGGATGCAGCTACTCGCAGCTTGACGTATAATTCACAGCCTGATTGATCAGGTATCCTTTGGAAGTGTTTATCGAGTTCTCTCTTGAACACTGTGAGGGGTCTGCCAGTTATGCCCCTTATGTGTAGTGGAAGCGTGTTGAACAGTCTCGGGCCTCTGATGTTGATAGTTCTCTCTTGAATACTGTGAGGGGTCGGCCAGTTATGCCCCTTATGTGTAGTGGAAGCGTGTTGAACAGTCTCGGGCCTCTGATGTTGATAGTTCTCTCTCAGAGTACCTGTTGCACCTCTGCTCTTCAACGGGGGTATTCTGCACATCCTGCCATGCCTCCTGGTCTCATGTGGTGTTATTTCTGTGTGTAGGTTTGGGACCAGCCCCTCTAATATTTTCCACCTGTAAATTATTATGTATCTCTTCCCGCCTCCGCTCAAGGGAATACAGATTTAGGCGTTTTAATTGATCCAAATAAATTATATGTTTTATAAAATGGATTCTAGTAGTAAGGAATCTTTGCACGCTCTCCAGATCAGCAATTTCTACGACTCTGAAGTTGGCTGTTCGAGTGCACCAATATTCCACCCTTGAGAGCACCAGTGTCATAACAAGTATCATCAGTGGTATGGCATCCCTTGCTTCGAAATTTCTTGTTATCCAATCTGTCATTTTTCTTGCAGTCGTGACAGCTACTATTATGTTCTTTAAAAGTAGGTCTTCAGACACTCCAAGATCCTTTACGTTTCTTTTTTGTGCTATAATATAATTTGATTATGTGTTATATAGTTTCGGTTCTTATATTTTCCCTTTTTCCATAGCTCAGGAGGTGGAACTTTGATGATACAGTGCTGTAGTTTTGTATCCTTGTCTATGTCTGATATTAGGATGAAACAAAGTACCGGAGCAAGCACGGTACCTTGGGGTTAGTTTAGTTTAGTTCATTTATTATGCACCCCATACCCATCTTGTGGGCGGTAGTGGAAAAGGTTACAGAGGCACATGATGGGCTCAGGGACTGAACCCCACAATTCATTTAGCTAAGCAAGTTACAATCTTGATGAGCTAGTTACAAAATTCAATATAAGTCGTCACATCAACAATGGGTTCGAGATCGACCTCAAGTACAGGTTCTAAATTAAGCAACTGACATATGTGGAGAGCTAGTGTCAAAATTTATATATTTGTCCTGCATACCGCCCCCCATCCAGTGGGCAGCGGTGGATAGGTTACAATCACTCAGTTACTACCTACAGTTAGCAAACTGGGGATATTTGGCTAAAATTTCTGGTAGCAGATCATTTTGAATGAAATATTGACACATCGCTGGAACATTGGTTATAGAATTGTCTCTAAATTCACGTATCTTTTCGCACTCCATCACATAGTGACGGAGGGTGTGCGAATAATTTTGTTGACACAGTTTACATTTGGTCAGGTCTACATCAGCAGATAATGAGAATTCCCAGAGATACTTGTAACCGAGTCTAAGCCGAGCAGTAGTAACATCTAGAAGTCTGCTGATTTTATTGGATGAACCATAGATGTGTGGCTCCTCTTGCATGATAGTATGATGATAGATGGAATTACTGGTGTCAATTTCACTTTGCCTCAGATCTACAAGATCTTGTTGAAGTTCTCGGTGTACTGCTGCTCTCAGATTGCTCATTGACAATCCAAGGTTACACTCAACGGCTCCTTTAAAGGCAGATTCTTTGGCTAACTTATCAGCTCTATCATGCATTCGGAGGCCAACATGAGATGGAGACCACATGAAATGGACTCTGTTACCATCCTTAATAATTTTGTTGTATTTGTGTCTAGCTTCGGACACGAGCATGTTACAGTTATGTCTTAAAGAGTTGAGAGCATTTAAGGATGATAAGGAGTCACTTACAATTAATGTATTAAGTTTGGAGACTTGTACACATTTCAGTGCAAGGATCGAGGCAAATAGTTCAGTCTGAAGGGTAGAGGCCCAGTTGTTTATACGGACTCCTCACTCAAAGTACAAGCCATCGCCCATTGTCAGCACAACTGCACTTCCAGCTGCACCCGTGGTGCGGTGTAGGGAACCATCAGTGTATATGATTTGAGAGAGAGAATGCTCTGTGGACAGAGCATCAATATGGCTTAAGGCGTTGAGCTTTGCCTCAAGACGAAGCTTGGGCTGATCTCTAATTTGCTTCTTGGGCGGAAAGGGAGGGATTAAAACTGGAAAAGACTAAGCTTTTCACAGTAGATGATCAGGATTGTACTGTGTTGACTATTACACTGCGTTCTGTTGGTTAAGAAGTTGAAGATCCATATCACTACTTTGGCAGTAATTCCTTGTGCACGCATTGTGTGCACAATAACACCATGATCACATTTGTGGAAAGCTTTTACAAAGTCTGTGTATATTATATATGCGTTGTGCATGTCTTCCATGGCACCTGAGGCCATTAGTGATCTAGCAACTATGAAAGGCAGGAGCGCCCTATTCTGAACCCGTGTTGTCCGGGGTTATGTAGATGTTGATTTCATGTGAATCTTCTTTCATAGCACTCTTTCAAAGATTTGTATGATGTGTGAGGTTAGAGCTATTGGTAAAAACAAAATTGTATCTGCTTTACTCTAACTCCTTTGTTAAGAGGCGCGATCTCCGCTGTTCTAAGTACGTCAGGGATGACGCCAGTATTTGGGCTCCGTCTCTAAAAGATGTTTAGGGCCTGTGATAGTGGTGTTTTGCACTGCTTGATGAATATAGAATTCCAGGAGTCTGGTCCTGGTGCAGAGTGCATGGGCGTGCTGTCTTTGGCTACTTCAAAGTCCAGTGGGGTTAGGGTGACAGCTGATATGTGGTTCCATGTTGGTGTTCCATTCATAAAAAAATCGTTTGTATCATTGTGTTCATGGGTTCACTGAGAACTGTATCATACCCCAGGCCTCAGTATGTTGCATCATGTATGTATTGACAGTTATGTATGTCAAAGTTGTTTTGAAAAAGAACACATGATTATGTGTGGGTCACAGCAATATGTGCCGGGCTGCTGGTGGAGCAGAAACGTGCCTTCCACCGCAGACTCTGTAAGAATTATGTATAATTTTGTTACGTAGACCAGACAATTATTTCTAACAAGGTTGAGTTTTCTGCTGGGGGAGGGGGGGGGGGTCAGGTCTGAGTCCTGCTAAGGGGGTTTGCCGGCCCCAGTCCTGCTGAAGGATGTGGGGGGGGGGGGGTGCAGGCCCCAGTCCTGCTAGGGGGAGGATGCTGGCCCCAGTCCTGCTGGGGGGAGGGTGCTGGCCCCAGTCCTGCTGGGGGGAGGGTGCTGGCCCCAGTCCTGCTGGGGGGAGGGTGCTGGCCCCAGTCCTGCTAGGGGGAGGGTGCTGGCCCCAGTCCTGCTAGGGCGAGGATGCTGGCCCCAGTCCTGCTGGGGGGAGGGTGCTGGCCCCAGTCCTGCTGGGGGGAGGGTGCTGGCCCCAGTCCTGCTGGGGGGAGGGTGCTGGCCCCAGTCCTGCTAGGGGGAGGGTGCTGGCCCCAGTCCTGCTGGGGGGGAGAAGGCTGAGGTAGGTAGTCATCTGGTGAGGGCGCTCACAAGTCACCAGTAATCTCAAGTTACTCAGACGTGACTGGTGGCGCCTCCCACTGCCAGAGCCACACTGGTTGTCAGGAGTGGAAGGAGTTACTTAACATCTACAAGACACTGGTGGACAGGGAGAGTCAAGAAATAATAATTCAGGTCATAGTGAAACTCAGGACATTGTAGTGGATGTGTGGGTGTAGGAGGGACGGCTGGATAGTCAGAGCCAGGCTACCGTGCCACAAGGTGTCCGTCAGAGCCAGGCTACCGTGCCACAAGGTGCCCATCAGAGCCAGGCTACCGTGCCACAAGGTGCCCATCAGAGCCAGGCTACCGTGCCACAAGGTGTCCATCAGAGCCAGGCTACCGTGCCACAAGGTGCTCATCAGAGCCAGGCTACCGTGCCACAAGGTGCTCATCAGAGCCAGGCTACCGTGCCACAAGGTGCCCATCACAGCCAGGCTACCGTGCCACAAGGTGCCCATCACAGCCAGGCTACCGTGCCACAAGGTGCCCATCAGAGCCAGGCTACCGTGCCACAAGGTGTCCATCACAGCCAGGCTACCGTGCCACAAGGTGCCCATCAGAGCCAGGCTACCGTGCCACAAGGTGCCCATCAGAGCCAGGCTACCGTGCCACAAGGTGTCCATCAGAGCCAGGCTACCGTGCCACAAGGTGCCCATCAGAGCCAGGCTACCGTGCCACAAGGTGCCCGTCAGAGCCAGGCTACTGTGCCACAAGGTGCCCATCAGAGCCAGGCTACCGTGCCACAAGGTGCCCATCAGAGCCAGGCTACCGTGCCACAAGGTGCCCATCAGAGCCAGGCTACCGTGCCACAAGGTGCCCATCAGAGCCAGGCTACCGTGCCACAAGGTGCTACAAGCGACCTAAGGATGGTTGCCATTTTCCGTGTGAGTTAAGCGAGTGAGGCCACCAGGGCCAGGCCACCAGGGTCAGGCCACCAGGGTCAGGCCACCAGGGTCAGGCCACCAGGGCCAGGCCACCAGGGCCAGGCCACCAGGGCCAGGCCACCAGGGTCAGGCCACCAGGGTCAGGCCACCAGGGTCAGGCCACCAGGGCCAGGCCACCAGGGCCAGGCTACCAGGGTCAGGCCACCAGGGTCAGGCCACCAGGGCCAGGCCACCAGGGTCAGGCCACCAGGGTCAGGCCACCAGGGCCAGGCTACCAGGGTCAGGCCACCAGGG